CTCTCTCTATCTAACTATCTATCTCTGTCTATCTATCAATCTCTCTCTATCTAGCTATCTATCTCTGTCTATCTATCAATCTCTCTCTATCTAGCTATCTATCCTATTTATCTGTCTCTCAATCTATAAATCTATATATCGGTCTGTCTATTAGCTTGTATGTTCATGTATCTACTTATCTGTCTATCTATCTATATATCATTTTCTCTCTTTGTCTATCTGTCTATCTAAATTTCTCTCTCTCTCTCTGTCTGTCTATCTACATATTTGTTTGTCCGTCGATGTATCTAGTTATCTACTTGTCTATATATCTACCTATCTCTCTATCCACCTATCAAACTGTTTATCTATATGTCAGTCTCTCTCTCTCTCTCTCTCTCTCTCTCTCTCTCTCTCTCTCTCTCTCTCTCTCTCTCTCTCTCTCTCTCTCTCTCTCTCTCTCTCTCTCTCTCTCTCTCTCTCTCTCTCTCTTTCACTGTCCCTCCCTCCCTCCCTCCCTCTCTCTCTCTCTCTCTCTCTCTCTCTCTCTCTCTCTCTCTCTCTCTGTCTCTCTCTCTCTCTCTCTTTCACTGTTCCTCCCTCTCTCTGTCTACTTCCACTTTCTTTCTTTTTCTTTCATTTTACAGATCAGTACTCCTTCGTGTTTTCAAGAACAAAGCACCATGCAATCTGCCTGTAATATATTGCCAATCCCCAATAATCATGCTTTACTCTTTTCCCCTCTCGAGCAAAAAGACAGCTCAATTGCAACTTGGATTTCTGTTTATGTTGGCATTGCAAAAAAAAAAAAAAAAAAAGGAAAGCCAAAATGAGAGAGAGAAAAAGAGGATTGAAAGAAAAATTGTATATTTGTTTGATTCTTCGCCCCCCACCCCCAAGAAAAAAGTCGAAGTGGTCGGTAAATCTTTTTCACTTAAGAAACTTAATGGAATTTAGGCATAAAGCATGCTCAGGGAGCTTGATTTTATTCACATCATCATTATTACGAAATTAATAAACGTTAATACATTTTACGCTATATCATATCACATAAATACATCTTTATATTAGCCTTTACGATAAGCCCATTTTTCTCTACATAGTTTTTCTCTGCATATCATATTACTATTTGCATGTTCTTACAATCTCTCTCTCTCTCTCAGTATATGATCTTAATATATTAAGGGTGTCATTCCCTCGCCTAATATGGTAATGAAACGAAGCACAGGGAATGTGAGGTACGAAAAATATATAAAGAGAACAGTTAATAAACATTTGACTTATATCGTGATAGTCAGGCTACATAACGAGAGAGAGAGAGAGAGAGAGAGAGAGAGAGAGAGAGAGAGAGAGAGAGAGAGAGAGAGAGAGAGAGAGAGAGAGAGAGAGTGAGAGTGTGTGTGTAAGAGAGAGAGAGAGCGAGCGAGAGAGAGAGAGAGAGAGAGTGAGAGTGTGTGTGTAAGAGAGAGAGAGAGCGAGCGAGAGAGAGAGAGAGAGAGAGTGAGAGTGTGTGTGTAAGAGAGAGAGAGAGAGAGAGAGAGTGAGAGTGAGAGTGTGTGTGTGTGTGAGAGAGAAAAAGAGAGAGAGACAGGCAGACAGACAGACAGAGACTGAGATTAAACACACGTAGTGACTCACATCAAACAGTCACTTCCAGTAATGTGATACAACTGTCATTGGCTTCACTGATTTTCACTGTTTCACTGATTGTTATTCGGATCTGTAATCTCTCTTCGGTAATGCTGGTCCTCGTTTTGAGACAAAAACAAATACCTGATGATTTTTAGATTATTCGCGCGTTACATCACGCACACTCTCGACGAAATAATAAAAATGAAATTAGGCAATAAAATAGACATACATGAGAATCGTGACGAAGAAGGAAGAGATAGCAGATAACTTGAGAACTGGCATTACCAACAAAGAAGGTGACAAAGAAAAAAATGATAAAAAAGAGACAAAAAAGAAAAGAAAAAGAAAATAAACGTTTTCAATCATTCTTTTTCAATTAATAATTATCCATGACACTTCGTTTTCTTTGAACCAAACTCTATCAGTCTAGAACGTTATAAAAAGAAAAGAAAAAAAAACTTTGTCGTAATAAATATATCAGCAATTAACAAATATGTTTTTTTTTTTCTTTTTTACTGACATCCAGCACCAATTTCACCCTTATGAGAATCAAGCAAAATGCGTTCCGGGAAATGGCAATAACACGGCAGGTAATAAAGAAGAGACACGTCAAAAGCTTTTTTTTTTTTGGGGGGGGGATTTTTTTTGCCTCTGTCTGTCTGTTTAATGTGTCTGTCTGTCTGATTCTCTCTCTCTCTTTCTGTCTTTCGATCTTTCCTCTCCCTCTCTTTTTCTCTCTCTCTCTTTCTTTCTTTCCCCTCCTTTTATTCTCTCTATCTTTCTTTCTCTCTCTCTCTCTTTCTTTTTTTCTTTCCCCTCCATTTCTTTCTCTCTCGCTCTTTCCCTCTTTCTTTCTTTCCCACTCTCTCTCTCTCCACTCCCCCTCTCCCCCCCCCCCTCTCTCCATGATCTCGTTATCAGGTAATCGAAATCCCGGGTGAAAAATGCGGTCGTCTATGGGCGGGGGGAGGAGAGGGGAGGGGGAGAGGGAAGGGGAGGAGGGGGGAACGATAACTTTTCACGCAATGGCGAACTTTAATGGCGCCAAATATCCGGTCTGCGATGGCTTCTGCCGGCGTCTGTCACGTTCTTCTACTTCGTCAATACGCTGAATCCGGCATCTGACTGTCCTTAAGCCGTTCCTTGAATCCATTCCTCCAACAGACGTCGCCATACGTTGCCCCGGCGAGGTCTTTCTCCAGTTCTCTTTTCGTCCTTTCTGCCTTCTCTCCTATTTTTCATTTTTTTTTTCTATTGTTGTTGATGTTGTTGTTATTGTTGATTCTGTTGTTGTTATTGTTATTGTTGATTTTGTTGTTGTTATTGTTATTGTTGATTCTGTTGTTGTTATTGTTATTGTTGATTCTGTTGTTGTTATTGTAATTGTTGATTCTGTTGTTGTTATTGTTATTGTTGATTCTGTTGTTGTTATTGTTATTGTTGATTCTGTTGTTATTGTTATTGCTTTTACTACTACGATAACTATACTGCTATTATTACTGATGATAATTATGCTATTACTACTAATAATAGTAACAAAACCGCTACTACCATTACTTCTATCACCATTATTCTTATTACCATTTCGTCTCCATTAATTTGCTTTACCCTTCTTATCAATTTCATCGTCTTCTCCAAACAATTTCCAAATCTCCCTAAATTGATTCCTTTGAGAAACTCAAATGAGTACTTTTCTTTTCTTTTTCTTTATTTTCTTTCTTTCTTAATTCTTGGACTTTACTCCTGTTTTCATTTCCAGGCGAAACGTTCTAATCTTGGAACTACCATTTATCAGCGTGTTAGCCATTTTAGAAGTCACAAAGATTTTTCTTTTGTTTCGTATAAGTTCTATAAACATTCTGTACCTGTAAATAGAAGAATATCTTTTCTTTTCTCTTTTCAATATAATTTCTTACGAGGTTTTTCGTTATTGCAGTAAGAAGAATTCATAAGCTTTTACTTTTGTATAAGTTATGAATTTCTTCAGGTTTCACGCACGTAAAGACATTAACCAATAAACCATTTCTTTTGTTTAGTCCCTTTGTTCGTAGAAAGGATTTATAAGCTGTTCTTTTGTTCAGTCAAGTTCAGTTCACTTAAATTTCTTTTCACTCGTCAAGAAAATGACACAGTTCTCGTTTCTAATTCTTTAGACCGCTAAACTCTTAACAGCTGTTCTGCAGGCGATTTTTTTTTCTTTTTTATGGATCGTCATTCCAGAATGGTGTCTGATTTCTTGTTTTCTGTTGATGGGAAATTATAGCCAGATTTGCATTTTTCATCTTTCTCTTAATCTCTTATTCCTTTTCTTTCCTTTCTTTCTTTTTGTTTAACGCCTTCTTCTTCCTCGTTTCCTTCTGCTTTTCCTCCTCCTACTCTTTCTTTGCCTTTTTTCTCTTTCGTCTACTCCTACTATACCTCTTCTTCCTCCTCCTCTTCTTTCTCCTCCTCTTCTTTCTCCTTGTCCTTCTCCTCCTCCTGTTCCTCTTCCCTCTCCTTCTCCTTCCTCTTCTAATTCTTATTCTTCATCTTCTTTCTCTTCTCCTCCTCCTCCTCCTCCTCATTCTCCTACTCGTTCTCCTACTCCTCCTCCTACTCATCCTCTTTCTCCTCCTCTTCCTCTTCCTTCTCCTTCTCCTTCTTCTCCCCTTCCTCCTCCTCCTCCTCTTCCTGCTTCTTCTTTTTTCATTTATCTCTTCTTTTTCCTCGAATATTAATAATTTTAATATTTGCATTACGTTTCTAATCAGGTTCAAAGCGATACAATGTCATCAAGAAATGGCAAAATCGAAAGAAATAATAAAAAAAAAGGAAAAAAAGACAAGAAAAAAATAGATGTATGTTACTCCGAGAAATGTCGGTTATGTAGGAAATGGCTTTTTGTATTTGACATTTTATCAGGGAAGACTGGATATTGGTTGCATTAGTTGCGTTGTGTGGTTTTGTTATATTGGATGTATTGGGTTCTCTTTGTGTGTGTGTCTGTCTCTCCTTCTCTCTCTTTTTCTCTCTCTCTCCTCTTTCGCTCTCTGTTTATCTGTTTATCTCTCTCTCTCTCTCTCTCTCTCTCTCTCTCTCTCTCTCTCTCTCTCTCTCTCGCTATCTATCTATCTATCTATCTCACTGTCTATCTATTTCTCTCTCTCTCCCTATCTATCTATCTATCTCACTGTCTATTTCTCTCTCTCTCTCTCTCTCTCTCTCTCTCTCTTTTCTCTCTCTCTCTCTCTCTCTCTCTCTCTCTCTCTCTCTCTTTTCTCTCTCTCTCTCTCTCTCTCTCTCTGTCTCTCTCTCTCTCTCTCTCTCTTTGAAAACAAAGGACAAAAGCAGACAGGATAAGGCACGTTATGACGCATGAATTCACGGGAAGAAAAAAAAAAACGCGATATATGACGCGAATTGACGAGATCCGACGAGAATTAATGAGATCTGACGAGATCTGGCGAGAGCTGCCGGAGACTGCTGCCACCTGGTGTTCCTTGCTAATGACAGCCCTTACAGCCGCGGCCGACTCCAGGCCCGGCAATTTGCGGGACAGAATCAATCAACTGCCCAAGCGGCCACAGCAGGCGTGCAGCAACAGTTGACGAGTGTGTTGGGCGGCTGTGCAAGGGATCACTGTTCTTCTCTCTCTCTGTCTCTGTCTCTCTCTCTCTATCTCTCTATCTCTCTGTCTCTCTCTGTCTCTCTCTCTCTCTCTCTCTCTCTCTCTCTCTCTCTCTCTCTCTCTCTCTCTCTGTCTCTCTCTCTCTCTCTCTCTCTCTCTCTCTCTCTCTCTTTCTCTCGCTCTTTATATATATATATATATATATATATATATATATATATATATATATATATATATATATATATATATATGTATATTTATATGACTACATATATATATATACATACATCCACATATCTATATATATATATATATATATATATATATATATATATAGATATATAAACACACACACACACACACACACACACACACACACACACACACACACACACACACACACGCATTTATATATGTCAGTATGTTTGTGTGTACACGTGTGTCCTTCTCACTCTAATCTACTTCATTCCTCCTGACACACGCTGTTGCTTCTGGATTCCTCTTCCTCTCCATCATCCACTTATCTGTAATTTTCCTTCCGCTTCCTCTTCATCTTTATCATCGTCTTCTCGACCTTTTCCTCCTCCATCTACTTTTGTGGTTTCTGTGATATTAATGACAATAGTAATTATGGTAGTAAGAACAACAACAACAACAATAATGATAATGATAAGGATGATGCTGATAATGCTAATAATGATACTGATAACGAATATAATAATAATGACGATGATGATAACAATAACAATGATGATGATGATGATAATAATAATAATGATAATAATAGTATTCATAATAATAATAACAACAACAACAACAATAATAGCAACAATGATAATAACAATAACATAATAATAGCATATGATAATAATAACGATAACAGTAACAGTGATAATAATGACAATGATGATATAATAATAATAACATTAATAATAATAACAATAACAATAATAACAACAACAATAACAACAGCAACAATGATAATAATAATAATAATAATAATATTGATAATGATAATAATGATAAGATAATAATGATAAGATAATAATCATATTAACAGCAATAGTAACAGTAGTAAAAGTAGTAATAACAATAATAATCATAATCATGACAATTTTCCTATTCATTTCTATCTTCATTGTTTCCTTCACAGTTATCACACTAAAGAGGGGGAGGTGGGGGGGAGGGGGGTGGAAGAAAATCGAATAGGAAAACATAAAGGCAATGGAACGAAATAAACAGTCTGTGAAACTATTTTTTTTACGTTACGATTGAGTTATTAGTATTTCCTGGGTTTTCCTTATGAATAAATTAAACTAGTTATATTCATTCCGTTTATATGATAAGGAGATTAAGTATAAATATGTTTATATTGTTGATTATATTTTCTTTTATTTATATTCATTATATATTGTGCATGTCTTCCTTGAACTGTCCTATCTATCCTATTTATCCGTCCTATTTATTGTCCTCCCTCTTCACACATGACACCCACCACCTCCCCCTCCCCCCACCACCTACCCAACTACCCAACCACCTCCCGCCCACCCACCCTCCACCCATCCCCCATCCACTACCTCCTTCGCCCGTGTCTCTTGCTCAAAGCCTCCTCCTCCTCCTCCTCCTCTGCCCTGGCTCCTTGACCAACACCTCCTCCTCCTCCTCCCGTGGCTCTTGCTCACCGCCTCCTCCTCCTCCGCCCTTGCCCCTTTGCTCACCGCCTCCTCCTCCTCCTCCTCCTCCTTCGCCCGTGCCCCTTGCTCCCCGCCTCCTCCTCCTCCTCCTCCTCCTCCTTCGCCCGTGCCCCTTGCTCACCGCCTCCTCCTCCTCCGCCCGTGCCTCTTGTTCGCCTCCTCCTCCTCCTCCCCCTCCTACTCCTCCTCCACCTCCTACTCCTCCCCCGCCAGTGCCCCTTTGCTCACCGCCTCCTCCTCCTCCTCCTCCTCCTCCTTCGCCCGTGCCCCTTGCTCACCGCCTCCTCCTCCTCCTCCTCCGCCCGTGCCCGTTGTTCGCCTCCTCCTCCTCCTCCACTTCCTACTCCTCCCCCGCCCGTGCTACTTGCTCACCGCCTCCTCCTCCTCCGCAGACGGGTCCGGCAGCCACCTCAACCTCTTCAGCAACAAGCAGCCGCCCAAGAAGAAGCGGAAGAGCCGGACGGCGTTCACCAACCACCAGATCTTCGAGCTGGAGAAGCGCTTCCTGTACCAGAAGTACCTCTCGCCCGCCGACAGGGACGAGCTGGCGCAGAGCCTCGGCCTCAGCAACGCGCAGGTGGGGGGCGGGGTGTCTCGTGTTCTTATATTTTTGCATTTTTTCTTCCTTTCTTTCTTTCTTTCTCTTTCTTCTTCTGTTTTCAATTTCTTTATGTTTCCTTTTTTTCTCTCTCTCTTCTTTCTTCTTCTCCTCTATTTTCTCTTTTCTTTTCTCTCTCTCTTGTTTTTTCTTCTCCTCTCTTTTCTTTTCCTTTTATTTCTTCCTCTCTCTTACTTTTCTTTTTTTTATTTTTCATCTCTTCTCTCAATCTTTTTCTCTTCCTTCTCCTTTTCTTTTCTCATCTTCTCTTATTTTTTTCGTTTTCCTCTTTATTTTCCTTTCCTTAACCTTTATCATCATTTTCTATTTCCTCTTCCTCCCCCTCATCCTCATCCTCTCCTCCTCTGCCTCCTCTTACTCTTTCTCCTTCTCCTCCTCCTTTTCCTCCTCTCCCTCCTCCTCCTCCTCTTCCTCCTCCTCCTCCTCTTCTTCCTCCTCCTCCTCCTTCTCTTCTTCTTCTTCCTTTATTCGTTCTTCCTCTATCTATATTCCTTACTGAATATATATTGTCATATGATAGGCAATGTATTGTCAGACGAATAAATGCTATGCCGAGGAAAATCCAATGCTCATACTGAATTTTCATCCTTAAAATATACTTCTTATTCATAGTACAAGGCGCGTATTCAGTAAATATTTGCCTGTATGCGTCTGTATGTCGTTTTATATGATTTCTACGTGTACATTTACCTATATCATTCATGTTTATCTGTACCTGTGCATACCCTTTCGCTAGGTATGTTTAAATTATTTTTCTTCACTTATTTATATTAATAATATCCATTAACCCCTATCGAAACGCATATAACAGCAGAGCTCATGTAAAAGCATTTCTATTACGAGTATATCTACTGTCCAATACACTTAATACAGTACCATCAAATCTATATTTTTATTCACATCCATGTAAACAAACACGCACGCACATTTTCATAGATTTTCATAGAATATTCAACAGATTTTCACAGTAGGTTTAGATTATGCAAAAGGGATCCGTGAAAAGCTATCGTGGTTGCGGGATCCCATTCAATCTCCGCGAAGGAAGGGGATCCGATGCTGTTATGAGTTTATTGCCAGATGTTTACAGATAATCGGCAGTATCAGCGAGGTTTTATGGGTCAATCGCGTGCTGGCAAAAACGGAACTTTCGTCTTTATGGCCCAAGTTAAATTACATGAGGTATCAGATATGATTTTTAAAAATATTTAAAACATCTAATGCCAATTAGGTATTTTTGTTTTTTTTGTTGGTGTTGTTCTGCGCACTTTTGTTCCTCTTTTAATATATGGAATTTCAGGTTTCTTTGATTTTTATTTAGAGTTTGATATTCATTTCTGATATCAATCATTTCGAAAAGAAAAGAAACATAAAGAGGAGAGAAAAAAAATGTATATGGGAGCTATAGGAATGACATAACAATAATTTAAGTACAAAACAACTAAACTTCAGCAATAAAAAAACAACGAAAATAAATTCAATATTCACAAAAAAAAAGTTTCCCACATATCATCAATAAATACAGATAATCAGATATTTAAGGATGATGCAGATGCCACTATACTATCCACAACGACTCGCTTTACCGACTTTGCATGATGCAGATCACTACGTTCGTCGGCGAACACGGGCATTTAAATCATGCACAAACACGCACGCACGTTATGAATGCCAGGTCGGTCATGCAGATTCTCTCTAAGGCGGCGTTCATGAAAAGATGCATTAACGAGAAAGAGAGACTTCCTTTGAGTATAATAAATACCACGTGTTAATAACAATTATTATTGTTAATATCATCATCATATTATTAACATCATTATTATTATTATCAGTATTTTTTTTTGTTATGATTATCATAATTATAATTATCCTTATTATTATCGTCTTCATCGTCATTGTTTTCGTCTATATCATTGTTATTATCGTCTTTATCATTGTTATTATTATCATCTTCATTATTATAATTTTCATCATCATTGTTATTATCGTCATTATCATTGTTATTATTATTATAATCTTCATTATCATCATTATCATTATCATTAATAGTAGTAGTAATACTTGTTATTGTAGCAGAAGTAACATTATTATTATCATTATTCCCAGTATTATTACAACTATTATTATTATTATCATTATCATTATTGTTGCCATTATTACTATTATCATCGTCATCATTATTATTAATATCAATATTATCGTTATCATTATGATCAATATAAATTACCATGATCTAATACTAATAGTAATGATGATCATAATAACAACAACAACTGCAATAATGCTGATGATACTGATAATCACTACCTAAATGATAACTATAATGTCGATAATAATGATGACATTTCAATCTCGATAATATTCTAACAATTACAGCAAGGACAAGGACAGTAATAAAAAACATTAGTAACATCGACAATTATAAAACCCACAGTAATAAAAACAACAAAGAAGTGTAATACTAGAAACAACAGCTACAATGAAATAATAGTTCACTTAATAACTCCCTTATACACACTCTCCCTTTGTCCTCCCGCAGGTGATCACGTGGTTCCAGAACCGACGCGCCAAACTCAAACGCGACATGGAGGAACTGAAGAAAGACGTCGCTTCCCACAAGATCCTGAGCGACCACTCGAGCTTCATCAAGACGATGACGCAGATGGGACTCCTTAAACACAAGCCAGGAGAAGTTCTAGATATCAAGAAGTTGACGGAATGA